ACATCTGTCAGTATGGCCAAAATCAACAACAAAACAACAGGTGTTGGTGAGGATTTGGAGAAAAGGAGTGCACCTCTTATGGCAAGCACAGGGTGGTGTATGGAAGTATTGAATTACTATATTGTACACCTGAAACTAATATAACACTGTGTGTTAACTAACTGGAATTAAAAACTTAAGGGAAAAAAATAAAAATAAATAAAAATAAAATAAAAACGTAAGGGACACTTGGCTGGCTCAGTCAGAAGAGCATGTGACTTGATCTCAAGGTTTTTAGTTGGAGCCCCATGTTGAGTGGAAAGATAAATAAATTAATTAATAAAATAATTTTTAAAAGAAATAAAAAATTAAAAAATTTCATCAAAGTTATCATAATCTGATTGCTTAATCCAGTGATAAGAAAAACTTAAATGCAACTGGGAAAGGAAAGGATATATTTTATGTAAATTGGAAACATGATCACAGTAACAGATTTTTTATTGGCAAAAATGCAAGCCAGAAGATAGGAGAATATCTTAACTGTTAGAAGAAATAGGGGCATCTGGGTGGCTCAGTCAATTATGTGTCCAACTCTTGATTTCGGATCAGGTCATGATCTTAGGGTCATGAGAGCCCTGCATGGGACTCTGTGCTGAGTATGGAACCTGCATAAGATTCTCTCTCTCCAAAAAAAAAAAAAAAAAAAAAAAAAAAAGATTCTCTCTCTCCCTTGTCCCCTCCCCCTGCGTATTAAATAAACACATAAATAATTAGAAGAAATAAACTGGAAACTATTTAAAAAACAAATATGAAATAAACAGAATTTCAAATATACAAAGACTGAAAAATTCAGTGCTCACACTTTTACTTTAGAAACTATGATTTTTCCATCAAGAAAATTGATACTTGAAATACCAAAGGAGGGCAGCCTGGGTGGCTCAGGGGTTTAGCACCGCCTTTGGCCCAGGGTGTGATCCTGGAGACCAGGGATCAAGTCCCATGTCAGGCTCCCTGCATGGAGCCTGCTTCTCCCTCTGCCTGTGTCTCTATGCCTCTCTTTCTGTGTCTCTCATGAATAAATAAATAAAATCTTTTTTTTAAAAGAAAGAACCAAAGGGAAACCAAAAGAATGAGGAGCACTAGACATGGGTAAAAGTAAAGATTTTATTTCTCAGCATTGAAGTTTCTTTAAAAAGATAAACAGCTGTTGAAAAAATAACCAGTTGTTGCAGGGTGCGTGACATGGAGAGGTAAAATGTCTAACAATAATGACATAAAGAATGGGAGATAATAAGCAGAAATACACTATGTCAAATTCTTATGCTCTATGTTATGTAGTTTAATATCACTGAGAACAGGCTGTAACAGGCTACAGGTATATCAGGGGTCAGCAAACTATGATTCAAGTGCTAAAACTTGCTCACCATCTGTTTTTATATAGCTCAGGAACTTAGTTCTTACACTTTAAATGCTTAAAAAAAATCAAAAGGAATAACATTTCACGACACATGGAAATTACTTGAAATTCAAATTAGATTCCATAAAAAATGTCTTGGTAGAATATACTCCTACTCTCATTTATATATTGTCTGTGGCTATTTAGGTCCTGCAATGGGAGAAGTGAGTAGTTATAAGAGAGACAGCATGTGATACTCTCACGGCCTTGCAATAATGTGTGTACACAATCGCAATCACGCGGTTCTCATTGAAAAACAGGCTTCCAATATGATGCCTTGAGCAGAAAGCTGCTCTCTGTGTGTTGTTCCTGATTAGATGACAGAACATTGTGCTCATTATGAAATGACACTTATACCTGTGATAAAAAGAATAAACTAGTACTATCAGGTCAAATACTATTCACAAAAAAGTGATAGAAAATCTGAAAATTTACACTGGAATATCTAATCACTGCAGACAGTTTGGAAAATATTTGGGCTGGTCATGTGTGACCATGCATTAATGACCATGCTTCATTCATTCACATAGACTTAACCATTATCACTTCCATGAATTTTGGCAGGAATATGAACTAAATATCTTGAGTTTCTCCACCATACAGTATTTTAACTGCTTAGTGGTGGCAGTTTACTGTGATTTTTAAAATTTTAGTAGTGAGAATAAAGTGTTTCTGAATGAAAAAAAAACTGGCAGTGTGATAGCCTGTCACCCAGTCACCCCAAAACAGTAAATATTTTAGGCCAAGAGACAAAATCAAGGATATTAAATTAGGACATATATAACAATTAAGGAAACCAATTTCTATGCATTTTTAATTTTTTTAAAAATCTTTTTAAAGATTTTATTTATTTATTAGAGACAGAGAGAGAGAGAGAGGCAGAGACACAGGCAGAGGGAGAAGAGGCTCCATGCAGGGAGCCTGACATGGGATTCAATCCCGGGTCTCCAGGATCATGCCCTGGGCTGAAGGCAGCGCTAAACCACTAAGCCACCAGGGTTGCCCTGCATTTTTAATTTTTAAAATTCAAAGTATAATAATGATAATATATATATATATTTAATATAGGTATACCGATACAGCGAATAGAATTATTTTGGGGAGAGCTAACATTTCACTTAACTAGAGATGAAAGTGTTTCTTAAACACAGATTACAGGAGCACCTAGGTGGCTCAGTTGGTTAAGTGTCTGACTCGTGATTTTGGTTCAGATCATGATCTCAGTGTCTTGGGATCAAACCCCACATTAGGCTCTATTCTCAGTATGGAGTCTGCTTGAGATTCTTTTTCTCCCTCTCCCTGCTCCCCTCCCCTCACTTTCTCTCTCTCTCTCTCCCTCTCTCCCTCCCTCTCTTTCTCTCTCTCTCAAGCATCCCCAGCTTCTTGCTTTCTACAAAGGAGCCACTGGGGTTTTTGATAGTTGAATCTACAGATCCATTTAAGGATATTGCCATCTTAATATATTGTCATATGAACATGGATGTCTTTATTTAAGTCTTCTTGGGTTTCTTTCAGCAATATTTTGTAAATTTCAGCAATATTTTGTAACATAGGATTGTATATACTTGCTTAAATTTATTTCCAAGTATTTTATCCTTTTTGAGTTATAAATGGAATTGGTCTCTTCATTTCCATTATATGTTGCTCATTGCTAGTGTCAAAATCAGTGGTTTAATGAGGGGTTGATTTCTTTTCCTTCGGCACTGTTAAGATGTTATCCTACTGCCTTATGGCACCCATGATTTCTGATGAAAATTCTCTTGGTCTTATTAAGAACTCCTTCAACATGATGAACCACTCCTCTCTTGGCTTGCAAGATTCTCTGCCTTGGGTATATGGCAATTTCATTACAATGTTATTTGGTGTGAATCTCTCTCTCCTTTTTTTTAAAGATTTATTTATTCATGAGAGACACACATAGAGAGAGAGGCAGAGACACAGGCAGAGGGAGAAGCAGGCCCCATGCAGGGAGCCCTACATGGGACTCGATCCCGGGGGTGTGAATCTCTTTGATTTCATCCCACTTCGAGTTTTGTTGAGCTTCTTGGTATATAGATTCCTGCCTCTGGATGCCTGGGTGGCTCAGCAGTTGGGCGTCTGCCTTTGGCTCAGGGCATGATTCTGGAGTCCCAGGATTGAGTCCCACATCGGGCTTCCTGCATGGAGCCTGCTTCACTCTCTATGTCACTGCCTCTCTCTCTGTGTGTGTCTCTCATAAATAAATCAATAAAATCTCAAAAAAATATATATTAAAACAAAAACATAGGAAACCAGAAATTAGACTGTATTTCATTTTCAGCTAGACAGAAGGTGCCCCCATGAGGTTTCTGGCTGGACAGAGGTCTAAAAAAATTGGAAGGCCAGCTCTGGGATACCCTTTCAGTCTGGAGTACAGGGGAGACCGTGGGCCGGGAAGTGAAGACCCGGCCTGCAAGACCTGCTCTGCAGCCACAGCTGGCAATCAGGTTTCTGAGATCCTATGGGAATATTTTCACCTTGCACTGGACAGAAACCATTTTTCCTGAATTATTCTCTTTTTTAAAAAAGATTTTTAATTTATTTATTCATGAGAGACAGAGAGAGAGAGAGGGAGGCAGAGACACAGGCAGAGGGAGAAGCAGGCTCCATGCAGGGAGCCTGACGAACTCGATCCCAGCTCTCCAGGATCAGGCCCTGGGCTGAAGGCGGCGCTAAACCGCTGAGCCACCGGGGCTGCCCTCCTGAATTATTCTTAAGTAAGATTAGGTTGATCAGTGTTGACATATGTACGTGTATGAAAAACATACAACTTAGCATCATAACCTTTAAATTTGGAAACGGCCCCGCAATTAGTAAACTTTGTTGACTACGGAGGAGAAATAAAGTTTCCTGCTGTGCAACTTGCCTCTCTTGTGGATGAAAGGAAAAACAGGACCAAGAAGATGCCAGATGTCAGGACACGTTAAGGGCTTTACTGAATGGCACCAATATCACTGTTAAGTGAAAAGAGCGGGTTCTCAAGACAATTACTAACTTCCTATTATCATCTACAAGTTTTTTTCAACTGATGTGACGCTGACAAATTGCTACTAAATTGAAACTGACACAGAAGCAGTGAGGGATGGGGAGGTGGAGGCACGGTTGGTCTCTCACTGGACAGCTGGCAATGTTTTGGGATAGACAAGAAGACAGGTGCCAGGAAAGAACGTCTTTTTTTGGTGTCACCTTCTTTTAACTTTAACAAGGAAACTGAACAGATGACTTGGGTGGATCTGCTTGGCCTAGGACCAGAGCAGGCCTTCATGTGAATTAGTGCCACAGGAGGCAGGAGACTTTGTGTTCCGGAACCTTTTTCCTTTTCTGGAAAAGATCTTATCTCTGATCTCTGGTATGTCAGGAGAGGTTTGAAACCACCCACCTCCTCCATCCTGAAAGGTGTTAGGAGCTCAGGAAAAGAAAGGGAGGTTATACCTTCTCTTGTAAAACTGATTTTAATTTCATGCCAGGAGGAAGACTAGGGCTGCCTCACCATCACGTCTCTGTTCTTTCTAGAAGCTTCCTTTGATAAGTCCCTATGTTCTGGTGATTATTCTGTAGTCACAAGTCTAATCCGCTTTATGTTGGAAGAAAAGTCTACTCCCTGATGATCCCAGATTTTCTTCAGTGTGTTATTACACATGTACTCAGGGGAGAGGACCTTGGAGGGTTTGTGGTAAAGCAGGTACTTGTTCAGGTGGCTCTCATCATGCCAAATGGCCTCGATGTGGTTGGCTTGGTCGACCATCATTGCTTCGTGGCAGGCCTTGGTGAGCCTGTAAACCTCTGGCACTGACCCCCCGAATAAGGCCCCTATGTAATAAAAGTCCCCCTCATCTTCAGGAATATGGGCTTGTGACTGAGGCCGACGTTCATAGGGGAAGTCAGTCCGATTTAGCCTATAGTAGCGAAGATGGAGGGTGCCAAACAAGGAGGAAAGGATCTCCACGCCCACGTGGTCACTGAACCTCATGTGCACATCTGCACACACAAGGTAATCCACCTCCTGGTGGAAGCGCTGCTGGGAAAAGTTGCTGATCATCTCCATGCGCTGCATGGAGATGTCCTGCCAGTGGTCATAATAGCTCTCGACCTCAAGGATGATTATCTGCCTTCCTTTTTGGATGTTAAGATAAGGAACATATTCAGGCTTGTCAGTGAAGATGTAGTAGTTCACCCTGTGTCCCACCATGAAGTACATCTCTGCAGACTGCAGGAACACATTCAGGTAGAGTGTCTCTTGTTCAGTGAGAAACACAGTTAACCCAATGGTGGCATTCTGGAGTGAGAACTGCTCATTCAGGATGTCAGTATTGAAAGTCCCCTCCCAGATGATGGGAGCCAGCCAAGGGGTCACAACAAGGACATCTTTCCTAGCGGGTGTTAGCACCTGGGGCTGGCGATACAGCATCCTTGATAATTTTCTACTTTGCTGGCCATAGATTTTGCTAACAGCCTTGCTTGTCTCAGGTGAGATGCTTCCTAGCATCTGGTTTCTTGGATTCAGGTAGCAATAGTAAAAGAAGGCCAAGACAAGAGCTACTGAAAGAAGGAAGTTCACTTGATGAAGCAAGTTACATTTTGAGTTCTCTGAGAATGTCCTCACCAGCTGAGCCATGGCTCCACTTCCAACTCTCACAGCCTTGATCTCCTAAGGTGCTGTTAAGGGCCCGTACCTGCTCGAGGTTCGACTCACAGAAGCTTCTGGGCAGACTGTTACAGAGCACATTGATTATAAGGTACTCATGCCCTCTTTTCTCCTGAGGTCCTACCTCTGTGCAAGGCGCGCCTGGAAACTGGGTGTCCAGGGTCACTGAGCTGAGTAAGATTCCCAGACTGGAAGAATATTCTTGAGTTCAGTTCTGATTTGAGGTTGTATCCAAAGAACCAGGTAGCCGGACCCAGTCAGTGGGCCACTAGAACTTCTGGGCCAGCATGTAGGAGAGAAGTCCGGACTCCTCAAATAGGCTCTGGGAACTGGCTCATGATGATCACTGAGCAGGTCAAGGACAGAGATTGTGATGAAAGCAGGGCAGGGCCTGAATAGGAGGTTAGAGGGCTTGTGCTTCAGTCTTCCCTTGACATTTACTGGCTGTCAGACCTTTACAAAAAAAACCCTAAATTTCCTGAGAGTCAATAAAGTTGAGAACAGAATGTCTTCAAGGTCACATCCAAGACAGGTGATGTGGGCCATCATTCAGAAGGCCTGATTTGGTAACAGTGCTGCAAGAGAGAGATCCTACAGATCAATGATTGTTTGCCTTTATTCCTCTTATAGTCACTTAAAATTCCACTGCGTACTTACTTTGCAGATACTCGGGCTTACACTGTGGTTAGGGTTAGGTTGCTAAACTTGATGTGCATTATATTGCTGACTCCTGAAAACAGGGCTGGGGGATGGGTGCTGCACTATCCTCACGGTCTGAATGGGGAAACATGCTCCCCATTGGGTGCATGGGGAGAGATGGGTGCCCAGTCCACAACGACATGGCTTAACTGGCTAAGTGTTGAAGCCAACTAAGCAGCCAGACTCCAGGATTGGAGTCTGATCCTCTGCCTTGCCTGTAAGTCCTGTGTGGTTTCCTTTTTCTGGGCTCTTTTCCCAGTCAGGTTGCCATATCTGTTGACCCTAGGCAGCGCCCTCAAGATGGAGCAGGGAACCTGGCCCATTGCCATTTTCCTTTTTTTTTTTTTTAATTTTTATTTATTTATGATAGTCACAGAGAGAGAGAGAGAGAGAGAGAGAGAGAGGCAGAGACACAGGCAGAGGGAGAAGCAGGCTCCATGCACCAGGAGCCCGACGTGGGACTCAATCCCGGGTCTCCAGGATCGTGCCCTGGGCCAAAGGCAGGCACCAAACCGCTGCGCCACCCAGGGATCCCCTCATTGCCATTTTCGATTCACCATATTGCCAACACATATATCTCCCTCTGCAGTCCTAGGCATTTCCAAGTATATGTCTCTTGGGAAAATAAAACCTCTGGCACAGACTTCTCCTGGCCCACTGTGGGACTAACAGTTGTTAGAAAAGAGCCCTGTGGTGTATGGGGAGCATCTGCCATCTGCACTCTGAAGCTGGCTGGTGGTCTTGTGTTGCTCTGTGACACCTTGTTTCTCCCCTCCCACAGAAGTAGGTGGTAGAGACATGGTTTTTTTTCTTGTCTTTACTCTTTCTTTCTTTCTTTCTTCTTTCTTTCTTCTTTCTTTCTTTCTTTCTTTCTTTCTTTCTTTCTTTCTTTCTTTCTTTCTTTCTTTCTTTTTGGCATAGTTTTTCCAGGCTTTCTGAAACCTTCTCAGGGTGGCTATGAGTGTGTTAGGAGGAGGGAATAAGTGGGTTTTGATGAGTGTCTCAAGACTTTGACACCTTGCCTTCGTGGCCCAGTTTGTGAACATTTGTGTCATCTTGATTGTCACCCCTAGTCAATAATGCTAATGCCTCTTCCCTCACAAACCATCCCCTACCAACCCAATCTCTTCCCTCCCCCATCACTCCCATCAAATATATCCCATTACCACATCCTCACATTCTACCTCCACTCTATATTCCATATTCCATTCTTATAAATATTCACATTATCATCCAAATTTCCAAATTACACCTTTATTATTTTTCCTCCATATATACCCATTCCAATCCCATTACCACAATTCTTAAACCCCACCACCCCCTCCATCCTCTTACCTTTCCATTTTCCCTTCCCCCCCCCACCTATTATACTTCCCCAGCACAAGACTCAGCACGACTCTCACCTATATTAATTCCATCAATTCCATTCCATCCATCACCTTCACCCATCCCCCATTATTACACCTTTACCCCCACCATTCCTTATTACCACTTACACATTCAACCACCACACTCCACCCCCCCCCAATTTACCCATTCACCACCAACCCCATAACCCCATTCCCTAACATCAACCCCAATCACCCACTCTATCCCCCCCAAACCCCCCAATCACACCAACCTCCCAACAAAACCCAAAATCTCTCCACCCCACCCCCCAATCCACCTCACCACACCTCCACCCACCCAAACCCCTTATACCATACCCCTATCCAAACTATGTTAGCATTGCAACACTCGCTGTAACCCATACCCCAATTGATGCCTCATCATGTGTCAGGACCTTTTCTTTCAAAGATTTAAAAAAATTTTTAGGGCAGCCCAGGTGGCTCAGCGGTTTAGCGCCTCCTTCAGCCCAGGGCGTGATCCTGGAGACCTGGGATCCAGTCCCATGTTGGGCTCCCTGCATAGAGCCTGCTTTTCCCTCTGCCTGTGCCTGTGCCTACCGCCCCCCCCCCCGCCCTGTGTGTGTCTCTCACGAATAAATAAATAAAATCTTTAAAAATCTTTTAAAAATTTTTAAAATTTATTATTTTTTAAAAGATTTTATTCATTTATTTAGACAAAAGGGGCACAAGCAGGGGGAGCAGCAGGCTCCCTGCTGGGCAAGGAGTCCAATGTGGGGCTTGATTCCAGGACATTGGGATCATGACCTGAGCTGAAGGCAGACACTTAACTAACTGACTGAGCCACCCAGGTGCCCTGAAGATTTTTTTAAAGATTTATTTATTTATTTATTTATTTCAGAGAGACAGACAACGGGGAAGGGCAGAGGAAGAGGGAGAGAGAAACTCTAGTAGACCCCACACTGAGTGAGGAACCTTATGCAGGACTCTATGCAGGACTCTATGCAGGGCTCTATCCTACAACCCTGAGATCAGACCTGAGCTGGAACCAAGAGTCAGATGCTTAACTGACTATGCCACCCAGGTACCTCTCTTTTATTTTTTATTTTATTTATTTTATTTTATTTTATTTTATTTATTTTATTTTATTTATTTTATTTTAATTTTTGGTACCCCTCTTTTAAAGCTTTTATTTTTAAGTAATCTCTCTACCCAACAGGGGAGCTTAAAATCTGAGATCAGGAATCACATCCTCTACTGACTGAGCCAGCCAGGTGCCTCCTATTCTTAGAATACAATGTACTCAAATCCTTTATGTTAATAGAGCCATCCTTGCCAGGAGCCCTACAGAAGCCATTCGCCTGGTCTAAGTAGTCTCAGCAACCTGCCACGTCCAGATGTCTAACTGGAGGATTCCAATATTCAAAGCTTTGAATTCACCAGCAAGTGTTTATTCTTTGGGCTAGAGATTGGGCTCTCTAGAGTGTGGGGGGATGCTGCGTGGACCATGGCTGTGACTTCTGATTGGGGCTGGATGTGAATGCCTTCAGGATGTTCTTCCTCAGCTGAACTTGTTATGGGGTGGAGAAGGTGAGGAAGATGACAGTCACACAGCTAGAGTGTCTGAGCACTTCTGTGGACCAGGACCTGCAGGTTCACATGCATTATCTACCAAATTTCAGCCTCCCAGTGATCTTGAGACATGGGAGTAATCCTCATAGTCTTACAAGTAAGGAAACTGAGACTCAGAGAGAGCATGAAGAACATCTGAAGAATGTTGCATGGCCCCCAGGCAGCAGAGTCTGCTGGAGAGACTGGCTTGGCAAACTCACCTGTGCCTGTGAACATATTATAGTCCCCTGGGCCTCTGATTTACATCTAAAGAATGGGAACAACACCTCCATTTCCATGGAGAGCTTTCGTGAGAGCAAAGTAAAATAATTGGTACAGAGGGGCTCCTGCCAAGCAACTTATGAAGAAAAAGAACAAAGGTTTGGTTCTTGGTTACAGCTGAGCCTGGCTGGGACCAAGAAATTGCCTCTTATGCCTCAGTTTGCTCTAATCCCAACTGTGCAGTGGTGGACCAAGCTGCCTCCACATACTGTCACTACAAGGTCTTATATACAGAGCTGGGTTCCAGGGTTCCAGGACTTTAGAACTCCTCCGATGGCTCTATATCATAGCCATGCCTAACCCCCACCACTCTCTTACAGTAACAGTATAGTAACAGTAACAAACCCACTCAGTAACAACCCACTGAGAGCTACCCTCAGGTAGCTCTCAAAAGAGCCTGCTAGGCGTTCACCATAGGGACCTTCTCAGGTGTTTCTGTAATCCTTGTGGCAAGGAGCCTATGCGATGTACCCTGAGCTGAACATGTTGGTAGTCGCTCATCTCCTTGTGATGTGTGCTCTGTAGGTGGCAAGGGAAGGCTCTTTGCTCAGGATGAGATGTGGCTTGAGGGCTGCCCTCACCCCTCAGCTCCACTCCACATCATGGGTAGAGACTGCTTCAAAAAGGGGGTATGGAGGTACCTGGGGGGCTTATTCGGTTAAGCAACTGCCTTCAGCTCAGGCCATGATCTCTGGTTTCTGGGATTTAGTCCCACAATGGGCTCCCTGCTCAGCAGGGAGTCTGCTTCTGTCTCTCCCTCTGCCCCTCTCCACTGCTTGTTTTCTCTCTCTCTCAAGTAAAATAAAATAAAATAAAATAAAATAAAATAAAATAAAATAAATAAAATAAAATAAAATAGGGTATGAATCCCTGCCTCTGTGGAAGCTAAGGGGAAGGAAGGTAGAACAGGGAGGTTGTAGGCAGAGGATCTGCACTTCAAGTGCACATGAACCAGGAGGTACAATCCACTGCTCGCCCATTCCAAAGGCTTACAATCCCCAGGGCTACCGAAAAGGTACTAGCCACTCAGATGAACTGCATGGGTGCAAGGTCTTGGGTGAGTACCCTGACCTATAGATGGGTGTACGGGGACAATGGGTGCCCTGTCCAAAGATGAGGAAGAGGTAAGTGAAAGTTAGTTTGTTCTCACAACATAGGTAATATACTGGCTGTTGCTCAACTTCCACAGAACTTCCTGAGGACGACTAGGTACCAGGGGAAACTCTCAGTGTTGCTCTCCCCTCTCCTTTCCTCTAAACTGTAGAATCCTTGTCTAATCTGGGGTTGGAGAAAATATCATGATAGGATATCCTGCATCTCTGATATCCAAATTTAGGATTTGGAGGTAAAAGCCTGAATTTGTCTTTTCATATGTGCTTCTGACATATCATTTCCTCCATAATCATAGGGCCCCACCCCATTTTCACCCCGGGCCTACCTGAGTTCACATGCAGCTGTAGTGGAGCCCCAGCCCCCGGCAGACATATTGCCTCCTTAAACACTTGCGTCTCTCTTTGACTGCTTGGTAGCTTTCTCCAATAGTGGGAGCTTGGTGGGCCATTGTCAGGCTCATTCTGAAAGTGTGGGGGTGGTTAATATACACAGGGAATCCTTTAAAAAATACACACCGCCTTGATCTCTAGTGAGTCAGTTTTGGTGAGTTCCATGCTGTCTCAGGGTTCCCAGTAGGTTTGAGACCTAGTTGTTCATAGCCGTGGCTTTTCTCCCTCCCAATTTCTCACTCATTCACCCTGAAATCACATCTCAAATGAACACCCTGTCCTCACAACTTTGTCTCAAAGTCTGCTTTGGCAAGAACAGAACTTCTTATAGCAAACCAGGTACAGCTGCCTAAAAAGGAAGGAGAGGTGACAAAATAGAAGGCCAGTGAAGAGAGTAGGGTGAAGGGTAGGGACAGGGCATGGTTGTTGATCCCTCAGAAGGAAACTTGGTTGAGTAGTGAGGTTTTCTAGGGACCTCTAGGTTTATCTAGGGATTATGCCATGTAAATTCCCAAACTGTCCTCCTGCCAACGTGTTGCTCTGGTACCCTTCTAACTTCAGCCCATGGGAATCCTTGGGAGTCCAGGCAGAAGGATGCACTAGCCACTTGCTCAGGGCCTGGGATCCAAACAGAGACATACAGAACAAACTCTGGATGCCTCCCATTATAGAGGCCACAGGACTGAGATCTGTCCCCCACAAAAGAAAAATCCTAGATCCAGTACACAACTATGGACAGTACTCCTGCCAAATCTCATGATGAAGACTGGCAGTGGCAAGTACAGTATGTGGACTTGCTGTTGTCTTAGCTGGAAGATTCTCTTTGATGTTTTTTTTTTTCCCCAAAGTATAAAAGGAGGATAAACTTATTCAAGAGAATTCTTCTTGAGGTCACTCGGGGGATGCCCAGGAATCCTCCATCCTTATTCAGAACATTTCCCCACTTACTCCCTCATGCATAAAAAGCAAACTTTTGCTTTCATGTTGGGTCATAGGGATCAGTTTTCTGTGATTGTGTAAACATTCAGGTATGGGAGACACTTGAGGCTTCAGTCATCATCCTATTTATTGTAATAAAATATTCACAACATAAAATTTACTGTGTGTTAACAAAGTCAGCTGTGTCTTCTCTTGAAAGTAGTGCTTTTATGAAGAGGTCCTGGAGGGCCCCGCGGTGGTGTGCCGTGATGCTGCCCATTGTGGGCTGAGCTTGGTCTCTCTGATGTTAGTGGGACCCAGACAGGCCAGCTCTGAGGAGGTGTGTCTGCAGGGGAACTTGTGAACAGGTCCAAGGTGTTAGCAGAACTTGTGCTGGGCCTCTAATCTTATGCTGGATCCCCCTGAAGCGCCGTGGCAGGTAGGTGTTGTGAGGGACGGTGTGGGACACTGTCATTTCTATGCATAGCTCGGCCAATGTCACAATCCAGACCACAAAGAGAAGATGACCTGCATTAGAAGACACTCAGAACATACTTCCTCCCTCTCCTGATGTACTCGACACTGTTCCGAGAAGACTTTATAATCAATCCCTGGGAAACCCACTTCTCCAGCCACCACTTCTGCATGAAAGCAGGATCAAGGTGTCCCAGGGCAGTACAACAGCACCAGCTCACTTCATGGTACAGGCGGCAGGTTCTCCTTATCTGCCGGGGGCCCCCACCTTTTTTTTTTTTTTTTAACCTGCTGTGGGTTCCACAGTGTGGCAGGAGAGGTCTGTGTCCGATGCTTCATTTTCTGGAAGGTACATGTTTGGAATCTCCCAGGATATCAGAGGGAGGAGATTATGAAATGGCAAGATGATAAGGCCAGAGTCAACAAAGGGCACTGTCTGGAGGCCTCTGTTGGAGAGACAGCTGGCATGTGAAGCCTAAGGTGAAAAACCAAAGAATCTGACTTTTAAAAGAACCCAGTAAGGACAGACCTCAAAGACACCAGCAGACAAAGACAGCGGACCAGTGGACGATATTCTCAAGTCTGGCTGCTAAGGCAGCTTCAGCACTGACGAGCCAGCCACGTGCTCGTGGGTCAGTCACCTGCCTCTCTGAGGCTCTTTCTCCATCTGTACAACGCTAAGAACATAGCATATGTCTCCCAAGCTCTTTCTAAGAATTGAACAAGATAATGCCCATTACGCTTAGCAGTCTAATCCTAACAGCAGCGTAAGGCTAGTAACATAAAAAGCAAATGCGGGACACCTGGGTGGCTCAGGGCTCAGGTCATGGGACCTAGTCCCGCACTGGGCTCCCTGTGGTGGGCCTGCTTCTCCCTCTGCCTATGTCTCTGCCTCTCTCCGTTTCTCTCATGAAAAAATAAAATCTTAAAGTAAATAAATTCTAGTGGATCTCAGGTAATCTTTTTTTTTTAAAGATTTTATTTATTTATTCACGAGAGAGAGAGGCAGAGACAGAAGCAGGCTCCATGCAGGGAGCCTGATGTGGGACTCGATCCAGGGTCTCCAGGATCACACCCTGGGCTGAAGGCGGCTCTAAAACACTGAGCAACCAGGGCTGCCCGATCTCAGGTAATTATTAAGAGATTAAAGGAAAACAATTTCCAATCTGTAGACCTTCCATTCGCATCCACCATGGCTTCGAAGTCAGGCCTCTGAAGGATGACCCTTGTTAACTGTGTGGATATGATCTTGAAGACAATCTGATCTTGACTTTTTGGATTTTTTTTTTTTCAAGAAACTCAGTGCTAGCTCACAGCTGTTAAATATCATAAATCCTGACCCTGTGGTCAGGCTCTGGTGACTGCTACCCTGCCCTGCTTTCATCATAATCTCTGGCCTTCAGCTGTTTAGTGATCTCCCTTGAGCCAGCTCCCTGAATCTGTTTCAGGAGCTCTGGCTTGTCTCCTACACACTGGTCCTTAAGTTCTAGCTCTCTGTTGACTTAAATCCTGACACCTGGTCTCTTAGACAGCATCTCAGACGAAATCTGACTTTCTGAAGGTCTCCTTGGATCCTGTCTTTCTCCGCGGGGCATCCCAGATGTCCCTGTGCCCAAGAGCCCACTTGCACCAGGCCCAGGCCTCAAGGTAGGCTGGGCTGCTGGAGTGGTGAGCAGGAAGTGTGAGTGTGGGTACTTTAGGGTCGGGATATCAGCTGCACTTTGCCTCAGTGAGACAACTGAGGGAGGACAGTTGGGAGAGACAAGGACCCTCATCTTGGAAGAGAGGGGAGGTGTGTCCTCTAGTCATGCAGGCATGGCTCAGCTGCTGCAGATACTGGCTGCGACACAGAAATGCTGCTCGCTTCGAGCGACCTTCCTTCTCATAGCGCTCATCATGATTTTCTTTAGTTATAAGAGTTACCTGAACCCAAGAAGCCAGAAGCCAGAAAGCACCCAGGCTGATGTAAATCTGACCGTGAGAGAACGCAGGGGCCTGCAAAGTGTGAAATTATCAAGGATGCTGTATCGCCAGCCCCAGGTGCTAACACCCGCTAGGAAAGATGTCCTTGTTGTGACCCCTTGGCTGGCTCCCATCATCTGGGAAGGGACTTTCAATACTGACATCCTGAATGAGCAGTTCTCACTCCAGAATGCCACCATTGGGTTAACTGTATTTTCTATCAAAACATACATGATCTTCCTGAAGCAGTTCCTGCAGTCTGCAGAGATGTACTTCATGGTGGGACACAGGGTGAACTACTACATCTTCACTGACAAGCCTGAATATGTTCCTTATCTTAACATCCAAAAAGGAAGGCAGATAATCATCCTTGAGGTCGAGAGCTATTATGACCACTGGCAGGACATCTCCATGCAGCGCATGGAGATGATCAGTAATTTTTGCCAGGAGCGCTTCCACCAGGAGGTGGATTACCTTGTGTGTTCAGATGTGGACATGAGGTTCAGTGACCACGTGGGCGTGGAGATCCTCTCCTCCTTGTTTGGCACCCTTCATCCTGGCTACTATGGGCTGAATCGGACTGACTTCCCCTATGAACGTCGGCCTCAGTCACAAGCCCATATTCCTAAAGATGAGGGGGACTTTTATTACATAGGGGCCTTATTCGGGGGGTCAGTGCCAGAGGTTTACAGGCTCACCAAGGCCTGCCACGAAGCAATAATGGTCGACCAAGCCAACCACATCGAGGCCATTTGGCATGATGAGAGCCACCTGAACAAGTACCTGCTTTACCACAAACCCTCCAAGGTCCTCTCCCCTGAGTACCTATGGCATCAGCAGCAAATGGATCATATGCATGACCAAGAAATGATCTTGTCCAAAATCATAAGGCGGAAAAAATTGAAGGTCTTGAAGAAGAATTACCAACTCAAAAACTGGTGAGCAGAACTTCCAGGGAGGGCTCAGAGAGAGGCAATGCTCAGCGAGCCTGAGTCTTCCTCCAAGCATGCAAGTCTTCACTAAAACCAGTTTTAGCATAAAGGGTATGACTCTGCTTCCTTTTTCTGCCTGATTGAGGCCTGGAACCACCTCTCCAAACTTAGGCCTAACGTGATCCCCTCTCCCATCTTCCTGCAACCACCAAACACACAAATTTAGGCTGGCCTGATTTTTGGATTCAAAGCACAAATTCCCAGGGTTACCACCACCTATAGCTTCTCACTATGTGCTCTGACCACCCTTTAGGATTGAGGAGGGCAGTGGTCTCCGCTTGTCCTGACAAAGGATCAGAGATAAGATCTTTTCCAGAAGAAGAAAGGAGGCCTTCAGGCACAGATCACTACAATAAGTGTAATCAACATCTCTTACCATACATAGTTACAGTTTTTTTTCCTTTTTTTCCTTGTGGTGAGGACTTTTAAGATCTACTCCCTTAGCAGTTTTCAAATATACAATACAGTGTTATTAACCATGGTCGTCACGCTGTCCATTAGATCCTCATAACTAATTTATAACTGGAACTTTGTGCTTTTGACCCCTTAATCCATTTTGCACACTCTCCAGTTCCCCCTAAAACAATCACCAATGTGTTCTCTATTTCTGTGAGCTTGGTTTGTTGTTGGTTGGTTTGTTTTTTAGATTTCATACATAAGTGAGATTATACAGTATTTATCTTTCTGTATGACTTATTTCACTTAGCATAATGCCCAAATGGCGGGATTTCATTCTTTTTAATGGTTGAATAATATTCCATTGTGTAGGTGTGTGTGTGTGTGTGTGTGTGTGTATACACATCAGATCTTCTTTATCCTTTCACCTATGAAAGGACACAAAGGTTTTTCTTAAATCTTGGCTATTGTAAATGATGCTGCAGTGAACATGGGGTGCAGGTAACTTTTAGTGTTGGTATATTCATTTTCTTCAGTGATGACCCAGAAGTGGAATTACCAGGTCACATGACAGTTCTGTTTTCAATTTTTTGAAGAACCTCCATACTGTTTTCCTTCCTGGCTGCACCAGTTGAAATGCCCACCAGCAGTGCCAAGGGGTTCTCTTTTCTCCACATCCTTGCCAAAATCTATTATTTCTTGTCCTTTTGATAGCAGCTGTTCTGACAGATGTGACATGATAGCTCATTGTGGTTTTGAGTTGCGTCTCCCTGATGATGAGTGATGTTGAGCATCTTTTCATCATCTGTTGGTCATCTGGATATCTTCTTGGGAAAAATATCTATAGAGATCCTCTGCCTGTTTTTTATTCAGATTGTTTGTTTGGTTTGCTGTTCTATGAGTTCTTTATATATTTTGGGTATTAACCCTTTTCAAACATATGACCTGCAAATATTTTCCCCCAACCAATAGGCAAAAGTCGTCAGCTTCAAGCCAAATTATCTCATTGCAGAAGCTGAAAACTACCTGGAAAGTTGTAGAGTCCCTTTAGGGCAGGAGGAGAACATGAAACCGCTCCTCTTTCCTGGCCTTTAGCTTCTTCATCCCAGCACATTGCCATCTGTCCACTGGAGCAAAGCAGGTCTCCCCCACATTTCCCCCAACCCCTAGCTGTCTGCCTTTGGTCCCACACTCAGTTTAGCAATTTAGGGACTTCTAGGGCCCTGCCACTTTCCTATTGTCTGAAAACAGGGAAGTCACCCGGTAGCAGTCTTTATTTTTTCTTCTGTGGTTGATCAATTTTCCTAATTTTAGGTACCCTTTCTAGCTTTTAGGCTCCAATTCTGAGTTGTATATTTTTCTGTGTCACTGCTGAGTAACCAATTTTCTATAAGAACAATTCTGGAAAGTATTTTCTCGCTAATGTAAAGTTATAGTGTCCTTGTGGGGCTAGGGGAGCTTCACAACCCCTGTGGCAGCCGAACAGATCCTGCCCTCAGGCCTCCCTGTCCCCTTCCTGGCTCTTCTCCCCAGCCACATCTTCAGGGTTAAGAGGTGTCCCAGAGCTGGCCATCAGTCTTTTCAGCCTTCTCTCCCGCCAGAGGCCTCACACTCGTGACCTCTAACTGCTCGCTTGGGTGCAAGGGAATACAGCTGCTGCTTCCATCATCTCCTTTCTCTTGTTCAGTTTTATTATTTCAAGATTATTTATTTATTTATTCATGAGATACACACAGAAAGAGAGAGGCAGAGACGCAGGCAGAAGGAGAAGCAGGCTCCCTGCGGGGAGCCCAATACTGGACTGGAAGCTGGACCGCAGGGTCACACCCTGAGTCGAAGGCAGATGTTCAGCCACTGAAATATGACGTTTCTCTGGTGGTTTTGTGAAGTGTGGCCATCTCGTTGAAACCCATATGTTGTTTAAAATGTGGACTCTGGGGATCCCTGGGTGGCGCAGCGGTTTGGCGCCTGCCTTTGGCCCAGGGCGCGATCCTGGAGATCCTGGATTGAATCCCACGTCAGGCTCCCGGTGCATGGAGCCTGCTTCTCCCTCTGCCTGTGTCTCTGCCTCTCTCTCTCTCTCTCTCTCTCTGTGTGTGTGACTATCATAAATAAAAACATAAAAAAAAAATGTGGACTCTGGGTGGATTGATCTGCCTCACTATGTTTTAAGTTTTGAAGAAAGTGAGTCTGTGTGCGTTGTCCATCGCTCTGTTGTGTCAAAGGCATCTTACCTCTCAGGAACAGGTAATAGGGGTTCAGCCGGGGGGGGGGGGTGACTCCTGTGAGGGGATTGGGAAGCCCTGCTGTGGGCCGCAGATGGAGCCACTGCGGCACCTCCAGTCTTCCTCATAGCTCTGTCTTCCAGGACCCCGTTACCACCAGCCAGGAAAGCATCTTCCCGGGGCAGTGAGCATGTTGAGGCTGCATGTGAGAAAAAAAAAGTCCTTTTGACTTTGAATGTAAACACTTTGTGGTGATGAGTCTGTGCCTGAGCACCCTTGCTTCTCACCTGAGCTGTCTTCCTTCTTTTCCCTACCTGAAGCTGGAATACAGACACCTCACTGCACCTGCTGCAGTCTTAGAAGATGAGTTCTAGTCAAACAGGCATGACGTAGCTCTGAGTGCGCAGAGGTCCCCTGTGCTGGGGGGTGACTGTGGCAGGCAACCTGGCAGGAGATGTCGGGCGGTGAGGACAGGTGATGTACGTGGTCGCTGAGCTCCAGGACGGGAGCCAGACAGAACCGGGCTAAATCTAGGGAATCTAGGGCCTGTCACAGACTGCTGTGTGATCGTGGACCGGCGGTTTTCTCCTCCTGAGGCTGCATGGGAGGGGCTATTGGAAGGCTGACAGTGTAGATGCCACCCCGACTTCACCAGCCCAGGGGGCGAAAAAGTGTCAATAGCCACGGGAAGCCTTTCTCTGCCTCTCGCTTTATTAGGACGAACTGGAGGTGCCAGCAGACACGGCAGCTGCTTCTGGGAGTGCGGCCTGCACAGGGAGCAGGGCCCGGGAGCCCCAGGAGCAGCCCCGGGCTGTGGGCTCAGTTACAGCGCTGCCGGCCACAGGGGGGCCTCCTGGCCGCCGCCGCGGGGCGCTGCTTCGGGGTCACGTCCTCGCCGGGATGCCGCGGGCCCACCCGGCCTGAGCACCTGCGCCGGCCGCCAGGACCGAGCTCCGTCCCCATTGCGAGTGGGTCCTGCGCCCGGGCCTGGGTCCCTCACGCGTGGGCAGGGGCCGCCCGGTGCCCGCATCTCCACGGCAGCTTTCCCCTGGGGTCGCCTCCCGGGCAGACCTCGGGCTGGGAGCGCTCCCCCCGGAGCTGGCGCGGGGCGGGGCGGCGCAGGGTGAACCCTGAAGCACCGCGGCCCCCGGGCTCCAGCATTTCTCAGAGTAGCTCAGAGGTCAGGGGGCAGAGTCCGCGCCAAAACGGACACTTTACCAACGTTAACTTGTCCGGCCACAGAGAGGGAGGGACATTCAGGACTTTTTCATCTTCTGTGGCCAATATAGTAGGAGGCAACACGGAGGCCTGTGTGCCAGATTCAACCCTTGGCCTCTTTTGTAACACCGGGGAGCTAAAAACCATGCTGACAACTTTAAATACTTGTAACACACACACACACACACACACACACACACACACACACACACACACAGAATATGTGACAGAGATCCCGGAAAGGCTTCACAAAGCCTATCATATTCATTTACTGGACTCTTTTTATTTTTTTTTTATTATTATTTTTTAATTTTTATTTATTTACGATAGTCACACACACACACACACACAGAGAGAGAGAGAAAGAGGCAGAGACACAGGCAGAGGGAGAAGCAGGCTCCATGCACCGGGAGCCCGACGTGGGATTCGATCCCGGGTCTCCAGGATCGCGCCCTGGGCCAAAGGCAGGCGCCAAACCGCTGCGCCACCCAGGGATCCCCATTTACTGGACTCTTAACAGAAAGTTCACAGCCACTCGCATATACTTCAGCTTTTCCTATTTAAGTACTGTAGGGGATTGGTGATGGCTCTCGATAGTTCACTGGTAGTTTACAGAAAACATATCTATATGATTTTGTAGCTGGCACCTTGCTCAAATCACGTCCCTTCCTAAGGTTTCCTAACTCGACTCTGTACGCAATAATGTTTCCTCTGAATGGGGATGCTTCCAACACAGGTAGTTTTCCTTTGCTTTCCATCTGCATGCCTTTCTCCTCCTCACCTTTCCCTTCGCAGAGCACACAACTGTCAGCACCATCAGGCATTTCTTGTCTAAGGAAGACTTGCAGCCGACTAACAGCTGTCTGCGAGCGATCTCCCAGGTACGAGGACAGGAGACAGGCCTCAGGTGGGTGCAGGACGTAGCCTGGCTTCAGAGCCTTACCTGAGAGCACCCACATCACCTACCAGAATTCCACAGGCCACTTTTCAGGGTGCCGACGACTCAGCAATGTTACCTTTCCCGGTGCACAAGTAGGATATGTGTGTAGGTTCGTGTATGGCTCATCTGCGTTGCACACGTGTAGGTGTTTGGTAGGACACAGACAAGCGGCTGCCTTTTGTCTGTTGACCTTACACGGGAGATTTGCTCACTTCCTTTCTTCCTTCTTGTAGTTTCTTTGTACATTCCCCTGGATTAACTACATGCACGTCATGTTTTCTGTGAGAAAGGCACTCCTACTGAAATCCGTATGTCTCTCATTTGTTCTCTTTACCGTGGACATCAGCTACAAGACCCAGGAAAATACTGACTGGAGACAGTGGAGACAATGGACATCCTTTCCCCATTTCTGCTCATAGGGTAAAAGCATTCAGTGTGCTGTTGATTGGCGCTTCTGTGGACATGTGCTTTATCGTACAAATGAAACTCTCCCATCCTACCTTGCTGAGCATTTTCCTTTGAAAGAGGACTCAGTGTCGTCAGTTACTGTTCCCACAACCATCCAGAGGATCCTAGGACTCTTTTCCTTCAGTTTCTTAATATGGTCATTCTACATTAATGCATTAATCGCTCAAAACAACCTAACCTTCTTGAGAAAAAACCCATTTTATGATAGATCACCCTGTTATATTTGGTAGGATTTAACTTTCTAGAATGTTATTAAGATTTCTAGGGCTATGAGAGATACTCACCTGTGCTTTTCTTTTTAGTTCTGAGTTTTGGGATGAAGGTAATGCTGGCTTCATAGAGTGAGTTAGCAAAACTTACCTCCCTGTTTTCGGAAAGAATTTATGTGACACTGATAAAATAATGTCATTCTAGGTTTTATAGAGTTCATCAGGGGAAAAAAAAAACAGAAGATGTGGAAGTGGACATTTTCTTCCTTGAAAGGGGTTTGTGGTCCTTTGTTACCATATTCCTGTCTTTCCTGTAAAAGGGGCAGTCGTACCCCCTTTTACATTCCTAACGTTGGTCATTGGAATTTTCTCTTTTTGATTCTCCTTCAGTTTCAGTAGAGGTTTATGAATTTTATCAATCTTTTAAAAATTCCTCTCTCAGCTTCGTTGGCTTTCACTGCAGTGTAATTTCATTTCTTATCTTGGATATTATTTAAGCTAACTGCTCTTAGGATGGACTTGAACCATTATTTTTAGTTGTTTCTTACTTTTTCATGGAAACATTTAAAGCTTCAGAATTTCCTGAAGACCTCTGCTTTAGCCTCATCTCACAGATTTTTAATTTTTGTGTTTTAATTCCCACGAGGTTTCAAATATTTTCCCGTTTTCATTCTTACTTCTTCTTTGCCTCGTTGGTTATGAAAGGTATGTTTTGCTATCTTTCTGGATATTTGGGGATGCTCTACTCATATTATTATTGATCCTCCTTGAATTTTATTGTGGTTGCAGAGAATATACTGCCTGGTGCCCACTGGGTCATGATTGCTCCTCTTCCCCTGCTTTTCACCTGGTATTTCCCTGACCTGAGAATATTCCTTCTCTACCTGACCACTTCATCCTTCTCAAGGTGTAATTCAAGTTCCATCCCTCCCAGACTCAGTTTTATGTGCTTCCTACCTGCTTCGAAATCCCAACCACTCCCCCCTCCTGTGTAATATGCGGTTTATTCGTGGGACTCTCAGTATATTATACATTATATAGATATTTAAACTCATCATCGCTAGCATCTGCCACACTGTCTAGTGCAGGGTAACGACCAAATAAATGTTTAATAAAATAACAGGTAAGTAGCTGAGGGAAATGCCTGCTTTTTTTTTTTTTTTTTTTTTTTTTGCTTTCCCCCATCTTCAGATGGGTTCTATGGGCTGTAAAATGTGTTAGAAAAGATTCTCTTTTCAGCAATAAGGTCTAGTGGAGACACAGCACAACTATGAGGCAAGCCAAGCTTGAAGGACGTTGTAACTCTTGCAATTTCATATTTCCGTGGGTTAAACGATGGGAAGACTTGTTTTTCCAAATACAGCCTATCCAGTTACTTACCAGAAAAGAGAATCATTATGATTCTTTAAAGCAGCATGAGAACAATAGCTATTGTTCTCAGCTTGATCTTGACTTAAAGTTTTCAAAACTTGTAAAACAGATATCAGTTTTTCTTCCTTTTCCCCGCCAAGCCAGTCCTCACCGGGGACGTGTGAGTGTTATGGATTATTGGCAGATTACATTAAATCAAATGAGGACATTTATTTTTTATTAGGTTTTTTAAAGATTTATTTATTCAAGAGAGACCCAGAGACAGAGAGAGAGAGGCAGAGACACAGGCAGAGGGAGAAGAAGGCCCCATGCAGGTAGCCTGATGTGGGATTCGATCCCGGGTCTCCAGGATAACCCCCTGGACCAAAGGCAGGCTCTTGCCTCCTAGTTGCTGAGATCTTCGTTCTTGCCTGGGAACAGAAGCACTGGGAGGTGCCCCCACCCTCGTGTCCCCAAGGACTGCCTGGACCGTGGACAAGGCTGCCCCAGAGGCAAGGCTGCTCCGTGCTGTACCCACTGAAGAGGCACCTTGGACCTGCTCAGAGGGAGGTGGAAAAGTGGCTGCAGCACAGGTATTTTCTCAGTGGTGTCGGCTGCTATGAAGCAAAGGGGGCGTCCTGGCCAGGAAAGCCCCAGGGAACTGCCTGAAGGGCAAGACTGCAGGTGTCTCCCTAAAAGTGACATTGTCCCTTCTGACTACAGCACATGGGCTCCGGCCATGAGCATCCCAGCTGCCTGGAATGATGGTGGAAATAGAAGTATGTCCAGGCACGGATATTGGCTCCTTCCTCCCACTAGACTCCCTGTCCTGTGTACTCACGGCACCAGGTGCCCTGAGGGTGTTCGCGGATACCAGTTCTCCCCATCCATGTGTGTGACACAGTCCAGAGGTGCCCTGGCCAGGTGGCCCTGACGTGTGGGACACCAGGCGGGAACAGAAGTATCTTCAGGACTTGGTTTCTTCTCCAACAATAACAGGTTGACTCTGGCCGAATGGGTCCCAGGTGCCCTGACAAGACCCCGGACCAGAAGACTGATTCTCCAGCACATTTATGTCTTGGGCCCTCTCACTGGAACCGTCTCTGTGTTCTGGACACGTGGAACGCAGGTGCTCAGACTGCAGGTGGAACATAAGGACCTCCAAACACAGCTGTGCTCTTGCCCCTCTGAGGGAGGTGTTTGCAGGTGATCTGAACACAAGGAGGAACAGAAGTGTCTTCTGGCCCATGTGTTTTCAGAGATGGTGTCTCCGCCACCAGGAATGAGTGTGCTTGGCCTGGGGATTCCAGGTAGTCTGACTTTGGGGAAGAAGGAAAGTGTCTCCCAAGGGAGGCTCTGTCTGTCCACTGTAACAGAGATGCTATAGGCTGGCGGGACTCTGGGGTTCAGGTGTCAGCCTCCCCCAACATGAGTTGACATGCTGATTGTCCCCCTCGGCCCTGTCCTAAAGCTGAATGCTTCAGACATGGAGCTGGGGCCCAGAGCAGACCTGCCCTCCCCAGACCTGTCATTAACCCGAGGAGCTGCAGATGCCTTGAAAGGAAATGGGGTCTGGAGTGATGGTAGCAAAGTGTGAGCTGTGCCTAGACCTGGGCATCCTGACGAGGGCTTCTGTTCCAGAATCAGCAGCTGTGCAAATGGGGAAAATCCCCGGGGTGCCACCCAAGGGCAGCTGACAGAGATGCCAGACGTAGACCATGCGTGTGTCACACATGCAA